TGTAGCCTGTCTTCGGCAAGTAGCCCTTCTCTCACCATGTTAGATCATAGTCGGTGTCTTCCAATGAAAGCTTACCTTGGTCACAGACTCGTGGTCATTCATTCCATCGGAAGAACCCTTCACCCTGGCCTTTGACATCATTTTTTTTATTTTCCTTTTTCAGTCAGTTTTTACTTTCCTTGGTCGAGTTCTGGCGAATGAGGAGCGATAACCGGTTAGCTCATTCTGTTATTTTCTTTTATTATTTTTCTTCTTTTTTTCGTAATAAACTACTGTAGTTGTTTTCCCTTTTTGTCTCCTTTTATGTCTGTCCTTTTTCATATAATTAAATTCTGTGCCCCTAACAACATCTTTCTGTGCCAACAATCATGATATACTGACTTGCAGTCACTTGAGGTTTGAGGTTGAAACTTGGTGGCAGCCCGTACAGTAAACAAGCAGATACAAAGAATAATCATAATCCAAATAATAGTAATGTTGGCAATATATGAAAATAAGTTATAATAAAAGGAATTTATTTTCTCTTGAGAGAATTTAAGAAGAGAGAATGTCATCTCTTTTATCTCGATTATAGAAGTGGACACATAAAAACAAACAAACGTGACTCGTGACTACGATGGAAAATTTGAAAGTAACAAACATCTATTACATGGACATCAAAACACTATAAACTCGTTGCAAAAAAGGCTAGCGCAAAAATTTCATTTTGTGCGCCTTTTTAGCAACGAGGCAAGATAACAGATCAAAATATACGAAGGCGCTTCAAAAGACATACAATAAAAACTTCAAATAATAGAAAAAACTTTGAGATAATAAAACAAAACCTTTAATTTAGGTTGAAAACATGCACCTACCTAATCCAAAGTCGAAAAAAACAGAAGGAGGCTTTGGCAAAAGGCATCACTGGGACTTTTAACTTTTTTTCCTCTTTAGAAAACGGATCTAGTCACAGTCTTTTTTCCATTTGCTTCGTTTTTCCCAGCTCACCCACAGGTGACAGTCAAAAATAGTCTTTCCTCCTTGTACCTTACTTTCATGTCTTCAGGACGTTTTTTGACATCTGGTCGAAAATTATTACTTCTTCATGTCGAAAATTTTAACAAATATTTATTTATTTATCTGCACATTTTTTTTTAATTAATTATTTATTTAAATTATTTTATATTACTAATATTTTATGTCATTTAATAAATTTTTTTTATAATAAGAATGAAAAATGTAATAAAAAAACTAATTAAAATTAATGCTAATTATTATACAGAGTGTTTTGGAACGAAATGAACTCAGAGCGTCCATGTTAACAACAGCTACAGACGATCATTGGAAATTTTTACGAACAGTAATTTCTTCCTTTTATAGTTTGAAGCAAATGCGAGAGGTTTGTATGAATAAATCTATTCTTAAAAATAACTTTAGGAATCTAATAATCATTTATGATTTATATTGAATCTGTTTCTTCTTTTTTAATAAATATACAAATATAATACCAAACATGTTTACCGCTCGAAACTGATTTCATAAAATATGCCAAACATATCTAAGTTAATATATTTTTTCGAGATCAAATTGAGCAGAATTATGTTTTTTTTTTTTTTTTCGCTCTGTTTAAGGCAGTTATGAGGCATGAATTCTTAAGGAATAGACTTCATTAACAGGATTCTCTATCAAGCAGCTTCTAATCTTCTACAGGGTGCCCAATAAAAAAAAAGGTAAAATTTATTATCACTGTTTTATCTTTCAGGAATAATTGACCTTGAATAACCTTGAATAAATTTTCTTTAATATTCATGACCTTGAATAATCTTTCGACTCTTACGTAATTACTTAACTCTGGTTCTTTTATGATTGATTAATTGCTGTTCGATCTTGTAACTCGTCATTTCAAGGATATTTAAAGACAATTTTCGTCTTTCGTTCTGCCCTTTTCGTATCACTGATTTTAAGCGTCAAGTTATCGTACTTTTCAAAGAACATTCGACATGGAGATTGACGAATGTGCAGAAATTCTTCATGAATTTTTCGCACACATCAGTCATCACCAATTTTCAACGACTGTCTTACATCTTTCTGAATTTACCGTTTTACTGGGCACCCTGTAAAATAACAGGTTATAGATCAGCTTTATTGAAAAGAATTTAATTACGGACGATAAGTTTTACATCATATTTTTTTTTAGCCAGATTAGGATCTGGACATTTTGTTGTCCATACCGTTCATGTGATCAGCGTTTCTTGCAGAAAATACTGTTACACTATTTACTTGTGACAAATTATCTTATTCTTTTTTAAAACGACTTCATCAAAACCGCGCCATATTCTGGTGATGAAACGAGAAAAGAGTCCCTACCCACTTGTACATTGGCTGCTAAGGTAATGATCGTAATTTCTATTGGTCCTTTAATTGGCGAATATCTCATAAATGATTGGATGAATTTGTTTGTCTTTTACAACCAAACATCTTTGTGGGTTTCAGTAGAACGATGCAAGAGCAGATTTCCTGCATCATCACCTTGGTCAATGCAGTGGGGTGGGGTATATCGCTGAATGTCAAATTCATCCGCGCTCCCTGATTGTCTTTCTAGGACTCAATTGTAACTTTGTTTTCTTCAGTTTAACTGTTTGTAATTTGGAGGTATTTTTTCTGTATGGAAGACCCATTTTAATAAGAGCTTATAGTTCTGTCATAAATATTGTCTCCTGTTTTAGACCATTCATTTCTTATGCATTTTCTGTTTTCAAGACAAATTAATTTGAGTTGTCTCTTCAAAGCTTTCGATGTTTTCTGTAGTTGATATTTTTATCAATCTCTAGCTCGCATCCCCTGTCTAGAAATGTCTGCCTGCGTCCCGCTTGCATGCATCATCCATTGGTATACTAAGCTACTACCCCTACTCATCTTTTTTACGGTATGTCCTTCGTAAGTGTTTGCTTGTTATTAATAAAGGAATTCCATCGATAAAACCTTCTTGCGTAGACGTTGCTCGATGTTAAATTGTTTCAATGTTTTAGATATTCAGTAAATTTCCTATGGCCGTATAACTTTCAAATAGTATGGCATTGTTCACAAATCAAATAATCCAACAATAACAGAGATGAAGCGTCAGAGCTTGATTCAACTGAAAATGCAAACGCATGAACGCCCTAACCACCGCCTCTTCGTGCGTTTACTGTAAAGCTGGGTTTAATAAAAGGTTCTTCGGGAATTTTTCTTTTTTAAGCGCTTCAATAGTTTCAAAGAATCTTTGCAGCAAAGATTGTTCGAATGCCAATTATGATCATTTGGCTTGAGATCAGTGCACATTTGTGAGTTAGTTGCAAACGCTGATCTATAAACTTTTATTCAAGAAAACAATGCAATCACTAAGACGCAACGGGTTACTGAAGATGAAAAATTATAGAAGGAAGGAAACAGAAAATATTACTGAGGAATACAAAACAAAAACGATCAGGATTTTTGGAGAAAGAAGATGATTGTTGGAGAATATCGTTTTTAATTAGTGAAGTCATTTATATAAAAAATTTATGTCGTCATAAATACTTTAGGCTGGAGTGTTAAGTATTAATTGTAACTTTTGTTTAATGCATTTATTTATAGGAGCAAAATACATTCAATTCATACCTAAAATTGCGTAATTAAGACGAAATCATATTAATGGCTGAGAATATAAACTGGAACCTCCATTCTTTCTTCTTTTTATTTTCTCTGCTTCTACATCGCGATTCTCGGCTGTTTTGTCTTCCAGATGACACCTTTGATTGAGAGAGCGGTGACAACATTAGTGAAGAAAGTCGAAAAATTTGCAGACACTCACGAAGTATGCAATGTTAATAAGTAAGCTTGGCTTTAGGAACTTACATCCTAATCCTTAACAATGTTAACAAATGTTATTCTCGATCCTGATAACATGTGACTTCGAACTAGCACAAATATTAACGATATTCTCAGGGAGAGTTTTACACCGCTAAGTTATACACAAAATTATATACAAATATTTACACTTGTCCCACACAGAGAAACTATAACATATGCATACAACATCAAGAAGTGCGAAAATGGCAGAATGACATAGGGTCTTACTTGTAATAGGTTCCAACGGTAATTCGAGGTGACGGATGATCCTTCTGTGTTTCTGGAGAAGCCATATTTATATTTCGAGGGGCAGGGCTGATTTATTTTCTATGTCACTAGTAAGGACATATTTCCCCAACGGAAAACGGCAAATTATGAGTATTTCCCAATATGAGGATTGTGACCTGGAGATATTATCTATATCTGGTGATAATATATTCCCAAAGAAAACACCTGATTTTTGGCAGCTTGCCTGGGAGAGGCAGATTTAGACTTGGGCCGGATGAGGCAGATTTAGCTTTGGCCGGGCGAGGCAGATTTAGCCTTGTCCTAGTCGCGACATGTTTAGCTTCGGTTCGTACTAAAAAGACAAACGATCGGTTTGACCCCTGGAAGTTAACTGACTAACCATTTTCGTTACACTATAAAGTAACATCCCTAAGACACTTAGCAAATTAAGTGAGTAGTCAACGTTCTAATCGACACAGATGCACACACATTGATATCAATACGATGTATTTCATTCTCGTTGTTGAGAGCATAAGTGCTTTAAACTAGCCGCTTCCTTTCCTTACATCTATTGTTTGACAGCATACAGCGGGGGTTTGAAAGTTGGCTTGCCCATTCGCAATTATTATGATAGAACTGCGGTAAGCTGTGTCGGCTAATTTGCTGTTATCCGAAAGAATCTTTGTCTTCGATCTGTCATTCCCCGTGACTCTCTCATGTCTCGTACGTGTCCCTTTTCATTTGGAACGTTTTGATTGTCTCTCATTGCCCAACGACTAAACTCTGTTCACCTTAGTATCTATATACAATCGTTTATATGGTGACGGACTACAAGAAGTGACATATTGGCACGATTTGATCATTAATTTAGGCTCTTTGAATGCAACGTTGCTTTTTTCTTTCTGATCACCGACGTTCTTAGC